TCATATCACAACAGAAAATACAACTCACGTTTGTGATAAAGTTATCATAATAATATTAATTGTATCATATTCATAATATCAAATAATTGTATCATATTCAATACGTCATAACATCATCACATGAATCCAAGATAACCAATACATCAACCATTACACCATCAGTCAACGTACAAACCTAATCAACTATAACATATTTTGTCATTGTTGTTACAACAAATGCAATGAACACTACAAATAAAAAAATACAGTAATCTTCAACTGTTTCTTCAGGATCTTCACCTTCAACTTCAATTCGTCCTCCTTGCCTTTGTAGGTGTTAACCATCTCTTTCTTCTCATTCAAGTTCTTTACCATTGAAGAAATTATTTGTTTTGTCCTAGAATCCATCTCCTCATCCAACCAAGTAAAGTGATAGCATTTTTTGTATCCTTGAATCTTATACATCCCACATCCATAGAAACGAAGGCCTGGGTTCGAATCGGTCCATGTCGTCCTCAACGGAGCATCGAGATCACACTTGCATACGTACCTTGAACGACTTGAGGACCTGCTTCCATGACTACAATTGAACTGCTGAGATATTTTAATGGAAGGATTTGATGGAAACTTGAAGAAACTAGGTGAGAAGAAGACGAGCAATGACTGAGGGAAAAGAAGACGAAAATAATTCAAAAGGATCAAGAGCGTAAGATATAATAAACAAAAACAACAACATTAATCAACAACAACAATATACAATAACACAAGATACTATGTAATGTTTCATGATACACATTTTTTTAAATTAATCGTGGATGTTGAATAAATTATGAAGTTCATCTAGTTTATGAAATTATGAAGAAGAAATATAAGGTGAATAAAGTTTACACAATAGCTTCACACTTCTTGTATTTCTCTTTATAGCTACACAAAACATATGTATTTCTCTTGTTAAGGTGGTGAAGATGAATCTGAAAAAAGTATAATATTCACCAAATAAAAAAATGAGAACCCATTTTTAACAAGAAACGTAAACGAAATCGAAACATAAGTTTAATGAACGAACCTCAAGTTAGTGATTGGTGAAGACGAATCTGAAGACGTATCTTAAGGTTGAAGTATATTTAAAAGGTGACATGGATGTTAGAGTTATGTTATGAGAGAGAAGAGTGAAGCTATGTTAGGGTTTTCTTTTTTTAGAGAAATGACTGTTATGTACTGAACTATAGATATTTTTGCCTAAATATTAAAAATTATCACTTTTCGTCACGGTTAGAAAGAAAAACTGTGATGTGATTTTTAAATTTTACAACGGTTGTATTGTAAAATCATGGTTAAATAACTTTCAAATTTTACAACGGTTGGTTTACTTCACCGTTGTAAAATCATTTACAATTTATTTTTTAAATAATGGACTTAAGTGACACACACTTAATGTACTATAAAAAATGGAAGAAAAAAAAAATATAGTTGCTGGGAATCAAAGCTTGCTACACATCATTTATTACTAGGTTTTTTAAGACAATTGTCATTAAATTACTGTTCATAAATCCAGTTATTCACTAGGCGCGAAAATTTTAACCTATTACAACAGTGTATATGAATCCGTTGTAAATCTGCTGTTGTTGTTTGCACGTTTTGTAGTAGTGATTAGTGATTTATGTGAAACCTAAAAAAATTCCATTATAAAGGTCTTATGATATCTATAATTGATAAACAAATTTCATAAAGCGCTTGAAACTATCTACGTCCTCCACTTAAATTTTTCCATTAGGAGTTCTCTATGATGAATTGCAAGTGCAGAAAATTATATGGATTTAAAGTTTGTGTTTTTAATCATTTATTTTTCTAACCTTTTTTTGTTTTATATCATAAACAAATACTTGCAAGGTGAAGCATTTGATCTTGTCCAAATATCAAGGAGTCGAAGATCCAACATTTAATCTTCAAGGATAAATTAATTTTTATTTTAATATTTTGTGTAAACAATGTAATATTCTTGGTAAACATTGTAGTTTATAAACAAATTATTTTGTATTTATTTTCTATGTAAACAATGTAATGAATTTCAATTAAAAAAAATAATCTATCTTACCCCTTGGTTTTATTGTAAACCGAGATGTATAAGGCTTTAGTTTTCTAAATAATAAAAGTTTTGATGTTAGGGTTTGGACCCATGAGCAAATTAATATACCCCTTGGTGTTTAAAAAATCGAGGTGATAACTCATTACTTTTCATGACACCCTTTATTACCTCGCTACTGCAGCCGAGGTAAAATGCATTTTGCGTCCGACGTTAAAAGCACTTTTTGTAGTATTGAACATTGTTGATATTGTTATATAAATTGAGTATGAGAGCACCATTGGCAGTCATAAGTATGTCACTGATTGTACTAGACCCGACATTGCATATGTTGTAGGATTGTTGTGCAAGTTTATAAGTAGACCGATCAATGAGCATTGATAGGCCATTGAGAGAGTCATGTGATACATTTAAGAGGACTGTGAATGTCAGTTTACATTATCAAAGATTTCCTGCTATACTAGAAGGATACAATGATGTGGGTTGGAACACCTTATCAGATGATTTCAAAGCAACTAATTGCTATATATTTAGTATAGCTGGAGGATTTGTATGTTAGAAATGAAAAAGAAAGAGACTATCTTGACTCAGTCCATGATGGAGTCTGAAATGATAGCATTATAAACTACTATTGAAGAAGTCAGTTGGTTAAAAAACAAGCTTGCTAGTTAAGATTCCTTTGTGAGAAAAACCTATGCCTGTTGTATTTATTAAATGAGTACTCTTGATAGACTCATATACGTGATTGTTGAACTTAGGCCGGTTCCTATGAAATTTTGAGACAGAATTCCTAAAACCTTCACTAAACCGGAATACACATGCAAAGTCATTAAAGGACAAGCTTATTAGAATACACCTTAAGAAACTGTTATGTGCGAGTTTGATGTCTAAGATAGAGGTCAAAATAATTGTGTCACTCTTGTTGATATGAATCATACTTGTTATGCAAAGGTTCAAGTTGTAGACACCTCTATTTATGCATAATCTTAAAAACAATTGATGTTGCTTTTGAAACACTTTTCTAAATTCAAGTGGGAGATTGTTGGAATATATCAATATTTCAATAGGGAAATGAATTTGAAAATTTTCTTTAAGTCCCACATTGCTAGAAAAAATAAGTATGTTTGTGTGTTAATTGAAAATACTTCTTGGTCTCATATTGCTTAGATTAGAAATCTAGACTAGTTTACTTCATTATATAAGAAAATTCCTTGTTTCATTTCATAGCACACCGAAAACTTCTATTCAGTTTTTTCTTCCTCACTCTTATAACTACGTCTTTCGAATTCGCCAACTTATCCTTTTTTTTTCTACTCAGAATTTTCTGAATATTTTCTTGAATTCTATTTAGAGAATAATTTTAATTTCTCCTTGTTTGAGTTCAAAAATTATCAAATATTATTTTTGGATTCTCTTTGGAGAATTATTTCTCTTTGTTGGAGAAATTATTTTGAGGAGTCAAACGACCATTATTTAATCCTCTTTGGAGAATTATTTGAATTTCTCTTCGTTTGAGAAATTATTATGAGTGATATTTATACCATATTTGAATGATATTATACCATCAGATGATGTATTTCTAGATCAATTATATATCGTGCAATTAGAATTATACAATATAGAACTGAATTGTTTTATCTTGGAGGCGTTATTGTAGCTCAACTCCTTTGTATAATTTTAAAGAGTAACACAAAACGATCTAAAAAGAACAATCTAATTTGTGACTCGACCTAATAATTTCTTCTATAATTGATTTTTAAAAATTATAAAACAACACATTAAAATCTAGATTCTTGGATTTTCTGGCTTCATCCACAATCTACTAATTAAGAATCTTTTTGATGAGTTGACTACTATTTTTCTGGGTCTTATTAATATGGAAAATCTATTAACTATAGTGATGTTATTTTTTATTTGGATTCTCTTTTTGTCTTAAGATTCATAATGAGCCAACTCTCAAGTTTCATAAGCATGAAACTTTGATTCAAGACGTTAAAGTCTTAATTATCTCACACACACTCTTCGGAAAGGAAATAACTGTGAATTTTTTTGGCTAAACTAAGTGTTTCTTCTAGTGATTAGCTCTTAATCTATATTAACTTATTCTCAACCTTCATGGATCTCATCTTACCGATTCGGAATTTGGTTGATTATGCAATACACCATCCATTTTCTTTTATAAACTAATTTTAAAATTTTAAATATATTAAATAATTAATGTATCTAGTCTATATATTATTCAAATAAGTTAAAATTTTTTTATAAAAGAGAATTAAAAAAATATGTAATTTTAGTTTTTGGTTGATTTACTTCTTTTCTTTATGCTTCGTAACCAAAATAGATGATTCATTTATCCGGAGGATTGATCTATGTCTTGTTAGCTACTCTCTGCGATTTTTTTACAAAGAACAATTTATTTTTTAAATTTATTAAATAATTAAAGTATTTGGTCTCTATTATAAATTAAAGTATTTGGTAAGATACATTCATTATTAATGAATCTAAAAAGGTGAAATATCTCTCGTAGAAGAAAACGGAAGAAAGTATATTCTAATTGATGTTTTATAATACATACAAAACATATTCTAATCGGCATTTGAATTTAGCATCGGAAAACATGTTCTAATCGGCATTTGAACTTGGCATCGGCACTATCTTAAATCGGGTTAAAATACTTGTTCTACTCTCGCAAATAATTTTTTGCTAATAAAAATATTTTTGAAATGAAGTTTTGTTATTCAAAATGACACCAACAAAATAAAACATCCCTAATTTAAAGTTACCCGCACACAGATTAGTGTCAGATTTGTATTGAAAATAAAAATAAAATAAAACACCTAAATTGATGAAAACTAAAATTAGAAGAAAAATAGAAAACTAATAATACATGCTATGATATAGTGATGAATTAAAAAAGGAACACAAAAATATGATCCCATTAACCCAGTTGCTTAGTTGGTGGCTTTCTCTTGCACAAACTTTTGAACCACTTTACACAGTTTGATGCAGTTGCTCTGGCTTTGCTTAAACCACCCTTCCCACCTGAATTCTTAGTGTTTGCATCATTTTGAGATTTGGTATTGTCATCTTCCATTGCACCAAAACCACCAGCACCCCATTGATCAGCCCAACTTGGTGCCTCACTTGCCATTTCTTCCACACCCTATTCAACCATATAATAAAACAATAATATATATGATGAAAATAAACAGAAATTGTTTAGATATATGAATAGTATAGTATACCTTGAATGAAGAAAATAAGAGAAGCTTGATGAAGGTGTTAAAAATGGATACAAGTGAATTATAACTATATAGGGAGATATATGTTAGATGGGCTCTCAATGTTAGATTGCTTTTTGTTTTTCTAATTTATCTTTTCCTTTTTCAAGACTTGACAACTCACCTTATGCTTTGAGTATTTCCATCATGTTAAGCAAACTATGTGCGATATCTTTACATGCTTATTTAATTTTAAATAATCAATCATACTTAATTATATAATTGTGGGTTCATACTTTGGTTACCAATGTCACTTAATTAGTACTCCACTACCACACTATGGTATGGTTGTGTGGGACTTTCATACAAGGCCAAAGGTATTTGTCATGCAATTAATGTTGTTGGCATCAGCTTATCCACTTTTACTAATTCATGCATTTGCACATTATAGATCATTAAGTTTTCAACCTACTTTTAACATTTACTTGAGGATTCTGTAAATAAGTTAAATCTAGATATATTTATACAGTAACATCATCAATTTGAGTAGATTCTGTAAATATATGGATTACATCTAATATAAAAAATATAGTAATAATAGTAGTTACAATCTATTGTTTCTTGTCTTTACACCATTATAACTATTTTAACTTACCATAATTTAATATTATAGTTTTTCTATATCACGCAGGGTTCCCTTTTTATTTTAAAAGTTGGTGTTAATAATAGATACTTGTTGATAGATATATTTTAGATGCTTGAAATGGCATTTTTGTGCATTTTTTTTAAATAACGAAAATGGTAAAACACTGATTTTATTATTTTTAATAAACATTTTTTCTTCTCTCCATAGTTATTTTTTTTTTAAAACCTTACATTTTAGTGAGTATATATTTTAAAAAATAATAATAATAAATATTTTAACAACATTAAACGTGACTTAAACTTTCAAGAGGCTTTGTTTTTTCTTAACCTCAATTTTTTTCATTAGAATATAATGATAGTAATTTGGAAACTAATTAAAGATTATTCCAGTCATCAATCCGACTCATATTTTTTTTCAAGCGATTCATTCTTAATTGAACTTCATCAAACTCTTAGTAATGAATTTACAATGAATTTTAAAAGATTTTTTTTTAAATCAACGAACTTACCACACACACGCACACGCGCGCGCGCGCACACACACACACATGTTAATTATAATTTTAGTCCCTCAATTTTATCTTATTTGTGAAATTAATCTCCTCTTTTAAATTTAAATAGTTTTAATTTTTTCACCTTTTTTTTTTAAATTAATGAGATTTCGTTTTTTAATGATACAGCTGCGGACCCGGGAGGTGGAGTTAGCAACTTGCAGCCCACTATTCCTAATATTGATAGGCCCATTCGTACTAAGAAGCTTCCTTCAAAATATCAAGATCACATACTTTATTAAATGAGTGTCTTGCTGTGATGTATGTTTGTTAGTAGTGTGCTGCTGTGATATCTCTCTTTAGATTCTACTATTCAAAACTATATAAGATGTATTTGCTCATTAAGCTAGAGGAATGGAAATTATTGCAGAAAATTATCTCTCTTTCTCTCTATTCACTGCTTTAGGAGGTTAGGCTCAGTCCTTAAAACTGAGCACTATCACTTGGTGCTTTCATTGTGTTGAATTCCTCCTCCATCCATGACTTCCCGTCCTCCCCCACCTGATCCTGTAGCTGATCTCGCTCGTCAAGTTGTCATTCTCACCGCCCAACTTGAAGCTATGCACAAACGTTTTGGCGATACATCATCTTCTGGTGCATCCCGTTCCAGTCCAGATTCACAGCACCGCCCTCGTCTCAAATTAGACGTTCCTCGTTTCGACGGAACAGATACACATGGTTGGATCTTCAAGATCTCACAATTCTTTACTTATCACCAGACACCTGATGAGGAACGCATCACCATTGCTTCCTTTTATCTCGACGGTCCGGCCTTGGCATGGTACCAGTGGATGTATCGGAATCGTCAGATCGCGTCGTGGGCCCAATTTTTGGAGAAATTAGAAATTCGTTTCGCTCCAACTGTGTTTGACGATCCTCACGGTAACCTTTTTAAGCTTACCCAATCTTCTTCTGTGACGACGTATCTCACTGAATTTGAAGCTCTCGCAAATCGCCTCGAAGGTTTATCTGAAGCTGATCTTCTCAGTTGTTTCATTTTTGGGTTAAAGATCGATGTTCGTCGTGAGGTCTTGGCTCAACAACCAACAACCATCTTGCAGGCTACTGGTCTTGCTCGTTTACAAGAGGATAAGTTGAAAGACATTGCGCTTTCTTCGCGTCCTCGACCGTCGCCGCCACCATGGCAATCTGCTTTGAGGCCTCGTCCTTCACCCAAGCCCTATTTCGATTCCTCTTCCATGGTGAAACCCTCCCAAGGCCTTCTTCCTACGCCACCAGCAAAGCCCCGTTTTCGACATCTCTCCGGGCCAGAACTCGATGAACGACGTCATAAGGGTTTGTACTTCAATTATGATCAATCATGGTCCAAACAACACAAATGTGGTGGTCGTGTGTTTTTAATGGTTGCTACTGATGAGGATTTTTCTTCTACGCCTGGTGAATTAGAGTCAGCGGCGACAGAATTGATTGACTGCGTTGTTGCATCGGAGGAACTATCTGCTCATGCAGCACAGTTAAGTTTACATGCTCTTTCTAGGGACCAAGCTGCTGACACATTTCGCATCTTGGGTCGAATCTCCTCTAACATGGTTGGTGTTTTGGTGGATGAGGGCAGTACCCATAATTTTGTCAAGGATACTATTGCTTCTACTTTGGGCCTCCCCTTGGACCCAATTGATCCATTCAGAGTTTTAGTTGGCAGTGGACAAGAATTAGTGTGCTCCCATATTTGTCATGAGGTGTCAATAGTTTTACAAGGTCATTCATTCACTATGGATCTCTTTATCTTAGGCTTACGTGGTGCGGATGTTGTGTTAGGGGCCCAATGGTTGCGGGGGTTAGGCCCAGTTTTAATGAATTACAATCTCCTTACTATGACCTTTTTCCATAACAATTCAAGTGTTAAGTTGAAGGGAGATTCACCAACTTGTCCTATAGGCTTTCACCAATTCCAACGGATCACTAGAATAGACCCTGAGGCCCAATTATTTTCCCTCCATGTTGTCGGTACACATGACACCCAATCTAATTTTTCTTCCCAACCAGATACATTAAACCTTAACCCTGAGTTCACCTCCCTCCTCACCAAATACTCCCACCTTTTCTTTGAACCCTCCACATTCCCCCCACCTAGACCAACTGACCACAAGATTCCCCTTCTACCCCAATCCACACCGGTCAATGTTCGACCTTACCGATACCCCTACTCAAAGAAGCTTGAGATAGAATCTCAAGTAGCCAAACTATTGCAAACTGGGTGGATACGACCTAGCACAAGTCCTTTTTCTTCCCCTGTTCTTCTCCTAAAAAAAAGGATGGATCCTGGCGTATGTGCGTAGACTACCGTGCTTTGAATGCTATTAATGTCCCTGATCGTTTCCCCTTGCCTACCATCGATGAATTATTGGAAGAATTAGGAAAGGATAGGGTGTTTTCAAAACTAGATCTAACTTCTGGCTTTCATCAGATACGATTATCCCCTGCAGACATTTCGAAAACAACTTTTTGCACACATGATGGGCACTACGAATATCGTGTTATGCCGTTTGGCTTATGCAACGCTCCGACAACTTTTCAAGCTACTATGAATGATATTTTTCGTGATCTACTTCGCAAGTCCGTTATTGTTTTCTTCGATGATATCCTGGTTTTCAACACCACTTTGGACACCCACCTTGGTCATTTGTCACAGGTATTTGATATCTTCGATAAGTATCAGTTTCATTTAAAACCAACGAAATGTTCTTTTTGCCAAAGTCATATTGCTTATTTGGGTCATATTTTGGCTGAGGGGACCATGGCACCCTACCCTTTGAAGTTACAAGGAGTAGTTGATTGGCCAACTCCTAAATCCGTGAAGAGCTTGTGTGGTTTTCTGGGTCTGTCCGGGTTATATCGAAGATTTGTTCACGGTTATGCTACTTTGGCTCATCCTTTAACTTGCTTATTGAAAAAGAATGCTTTTGAGTGGTCCACCTTGGCTCAACAAGCTTTTGACAAGTTGAAGGTTGCTTTAGCTACTGCACCAGTTCTTGCCTTTCCGGATTTTTCTCTGCCATTCATTGTGCAGACTGATGCCTCGGGGCATGCTATGGGCGCTGTTTTATTGCAGAATGATCATCCTATTGCGTATTTCAGCAAGGTATTTTGTCCTCGTCTTTCCCAGGCTTCCACTTACATACGTGAGCTTCATGCCATCACTTGCGCTGTGAAGCGTTGGCGTCAATACTTACTGAGAAATTATTTTGTGATTCAAACTGACCATCGTAGCTTGAAGGAATTGCTAACTCAAGTGATTCAAACTCCAGAGCAAAAATTTTATTTGTCTAAATTATTGGGTTACCATTATGATATTCAATACAAGCCTGGAAAGACTAATACGGTGGTTGATGCATTGTCTCGCAGTTGTGAGCCTCCTGTTGCTGAGTTGCATGTGCTCTCCACACCTCAATTTCTGTTTATTGATGATTTACGCAAAGAGTTGAACTTGGATGCCGATTATCAAGCACGTTGCCAACAATTTGAATCTGATCCTTCACTTGCTCTGGGTTATTCTATGTCGAATGGTTTATTGCTTCACAAAGGGCGCATTTGGCTTCCTTCTACATCTCGTTTCAAGATGTTATTGCTCAAGGAATATCATGAAACTCCTATAGGAGGCCACGCCGGTGTGTTCAAAACCCTCAAACACCTCTCCGCAAATTTCTGTTGGCCTTCTATGCGCCAAGACATCAAGCAATTTATACGAGAATGTGCTACCTGTCAGCAGACTA